AGGGAGGGGGGGGGGGCTGGGATTGTAGGGCCCAGCCACCCCCCATCTCAGGGGGGGGCACTGAGGCCTCCTAGCCCCAGTTCCTATAACTAGATTACATCTGTGCTGTGCTGTATCCTGGAGAAGCAATAAACTCCTTCTATTCTACTGGCTGGTGGAGTCTGTTTGTGCCATTTTGGGGGTGTAGGAGGTGGGGGACCACGATGCACTGCCACATCCCTACAGAGATGCCCCAATGATGTTAGTGATAATGTATTGGAACTGATGCTCCAGGGCAAGAGGACCAGCTGGCTCTCCCCACGTGGGCAGAAACCCCATTCTCCGAATATTCCCTCTTGTCATGCCTTGAGTGCCCAATGCTGTCTCCTTCTTTCCTCCATGCACTCTAGCACACTGCATGTGGGATATATGTCCCCTCCCCCAAATAGCCAATAATACGTCCCATTCCTTTCTTTGAATATTGGAATTAAAAGGCAAAAGAGTTCAGCAGAGGGACACACATCAGTGCCTGACCATGGGTGAGCTTCTTTCATCAATGAGGCCATGCCACCAGAAGGATGATGGGACCAGTAGGGACAGGGTCGCATAACTGATGGGTGGCATTGGGAACAGGGGGTAAGGAAGATACAGAAGTCCTTAAGCTTCATTTCTACAGTAGTATTCTATTCTGTTTACAACTGGCTGCATTGGCAGCTAGTGCTTGGAGAAATGCTTGCTGTTAGTTGTGGCAATTCTTTTTAGAAACAGTCTGCAGTGCCTCTTGCCAGGAAAGCAGGAATCTCTCTGATAGGAAACATTCCTTGGTTCTGTTCCCTCACCAGGGTCCCACCACGGCTCCTGTGGAAACAGAAGTCTGGCTGTTCCTCAATGTTCTTTGCCTGAAAAGTAGCAGGAGAGCACAGAGTCATTTCAATCGGATGCAAATGCTTGTTCCCCTCCAGTGCTGGGAATCTGATTAACTTTTTCCAGGCCTGTGGCTAATTAAAGCACACCATCCAAGTGTGGGTTATATGGTGTCACTTGGCTCACACTAGGGCATCTGTAGGTTCAGCCCAATCCTCTTCCCTAGAATATCTGGGAACACTCAAACCTCTGCTGCCATTTCCCTGAAGTCACATTGCCCAGGATAAAGCCAGTCTTTTCTTGGAGCACATGGGTCTGGAGCAGCCGTGATGCCCCTTGACTATAGTCCAGATCTTGCTTCCAGTTACTCTGGGATAAGCTAGGGCAACACCACTGCAGTTACACCAGTGTGAGTGAGATCTGGATTTAGCCCTCTGGTTTTTATAGGCCACAGGGCTTTGTGCAGTCCCTGTGCTCTCTACAGATTAGCAACAGAGCCAGAGACGCCACAGCAACGTGCCAAATGGGCATGGGATAATTTGCAGTATTGGTGGTCAGGGAGCAGCCTTCTTTTTATTATGCCCAGTGTGATGTGATGTCCTGGGGGGATCTAAGAGCAGGTGGCCCTTTGTACCACCAGCCTCCAACTAGGCTGGAGCTTCCTTACTCCATGTGGTGTTTGCACCTCTGTTTGATGTTGTTCAGCCTTTCCTTTGCCCCACCAGTCCCGTGGCAGATGGTCTCCAATCCTCTCTGATGGGGGTCCTTGGATAAAGTGCTTCCTGCTCACATCCTCCTCTGCCCCATGGCTACGATATCACCACTTGTCTTTTCTCTGCCCCCTAATTCTGCCACCCCGCCACAGTCTTTCTGCTCTGCTGCCCTCTGAATATCTCTAGGAGGCAGAGCCAGGGGTGCAAATGGGATCTGGAACTAAGTTCTGCATAGCAGCACAATACCCTGATGGCTTCCCAAAGAAGGGGCAGTTAATGCCATCTTAGACCCACAGTGCTCACTATGGCCCTGAGTCTTGGGCAGAAGTTTACATGAGTACAAGGTGTACATAGCGTGCTACACTTGGCTTTGGGTAGCACTGAGAACCAGCTTTGCACTGGTGTAAGTGATGGCTGAAGGATCAGGAGTTAGGATGAGCTGAACTCAGCTTGCCTATGTGGGAAATAGAGTCCCTGCAAGCTGAGTTGCTGAATCACTAAACCTTGTCCTTGCCCTCCTAGAAACTTTCCTCACTGTTCCTCTGCCCCCAGCTTCCCGAATTTAGCAGAGAAACTTCTGACAGAAACTAGAAGAGATCTCTGGCTCATCCGGAGAGCAGCATGAGAGTATTGATTGAAATTGATAGTGTTGCAGGCAAAAAATATATATACAAAAAAAAGCCTTGTCATGATTATCTGCTGGAACATTTGGAAAAAAGAAATCCAAGGAAATGTTTCAGCTGATGACACTGCTGAAAAATAGAGCACTCCATCCCCTCTGTGGCTATGCACACTGGCTTGGGCCGAGCCCTGTACTGGATTTCACTTGCATCATCCATTACTGAGCATTGAAACTAGCCATTATGTTTCTGAGGCTGCAAGGACGATAATTGATTTAAACGCAGAGTGGGGTTTTTAACCATTTTCTCTTGGCAGTTTTTTATTCATTGATAGTAACAACCAAGTAAGGTAGGGTGGGAAGTAGCAGATACAGGACTGGTGAGTAAAAGCTAGGCTAATCCCCTCCATGCAACCTAGGAATCTTCTCTGGCAAGGAGTGACCTGCTGTGCTCAAAGGAAGCAGGCAATAAGAGATCCTATACCCAGCAGCTGGGTTATCGCTACCATGGAGAGGTTTGAGACAGCATGTGAGCATGAACAGACTCTACCCCTGACTCACTGTGAAACCTTGGCCAAGTCTCCCCCGAGGATACTTGCTCACTTTCATAAAGTGTGTTGAGAACCGCAGACAAACATATTCTATGAAGGCAAAGAAATATTATTCAAACGCTTCAGGGTCCCAAATGCTGTTCCCACCCTAAGCACATCCACAAGGGGTGGATGAAATGCAGCCCTCTCTATGGTGACGAGAGCAGCAGGCCACGAAACCATAGAAGGGGAGACCAGGACATGGGTGCAAATGCCTCTTCTTGTGTTAAAGTGCCATCGGATTGCTAATGTCTCAAAGGGCTCAACTTAAAAATCATGAGGCACAGCCTCAAGAGCAGTGTTCCTCAGGAAAGTTACCCCCAGAGCACAGGGCTGTGGCTCTCAGATCCTCAGGCTCCCAGGTGTTGGGCCAGTCCCAAGGAGCAACTTTGACCAGCTGGCAGGTTGCTCTGAATTGAATACAAGGATATTTGTCCCTGTCTGTGGCCCTATCCCTGTAGCACTGAGTTAGCTACTGAAGATACCAAAACCATTCAAATACTTAGAGGGGCAACGGAAGTATCAGAAGCATAGACAAAAGGCAACCTCTGTAATGATTCTTTTTATCACTGGTTATAAAGTTTCCCTTTTGTGTTGCAGCTTAGACTATGCCAGGTGTTGGCAAATGGGCCTCTGCAGGCTGGATCCAGCCTGCCAAGCAGGTGGATCAGGCCCATGGAGGCCCTGCTTCTCCCCTGCCCCCAGGCCGATTAGGGCCTGGGGAAGATATGAATGAGAAGTTTCCTCCGCTCTGCCAGGACCGCATGGCACTTGGAAGCACCAGGCGCTCCTGGCAGGGCTGGGGGGGGCTTTTTGCCCCCCCCCCCCCACCCCCAG